ACATGGTTGCTATGGGGTGAAACTGACTCAATGACACTGAACAACAACAACAAAACATATACAGTAAAATTTCCCATGTGCCCAAATGGAACTGAAACAGAATAACAAGATGAACTTCCAGGTTACATAAAAGAACTCAGACAGCAATTCCAGGTAACATAAAAATTGTCTGAGGAAAGGAATTTTGAAGATTTACATTCATAGTAACAGAGGAAAAAGAAAGCCCAGAGACAGAATTTGTTTTTTGAGTTCTTTTTTGCAATGAGACAAAAGACTAATATTTAGAATTTTAGAAAATTACAATATATCTACAAGAAAAATAGAAACAGCCCAAATAAAAAATAAACACAGGACCTGAACAGATATTTCATCAATGTAGATATTCTGGCAGTCAGTTAATAGACAAAGAAGATCTTTAGCCATTAGAGAGACACAAATAGCACAACAATGAGAGATCATTTCACAACATTAAAAATGAAGTTAAAAAAAACAAAAAACAAAAACAAAACACAACAAATTTTGGTGAGGGTATAGAAACACTGGAACATTCCTACATCACTGGTGGAATTGTAAAATGGTTCAGCCACACTGGAAAATGGTATGGCATTTCCTTAGAAAGTTGGAAATAGAAATATCTTATGATCCAGGATTTACTCTACTGAGTGTATATTCACAAGAAATATGAGCCAGAACACTAGCAGGTATATGTACATCAATGTTTTTCACAGCACTATTCACAATAGCAAAAAGATGGAGACAGCCTAAATTCCCATCAATGGAAGACTACATAATCAAACTTTAGTATATATACACAATGGAAAACTATGCAATATTGAAGAATAGTGATGAATGTGTGAAACACCTCATAAACAAGGATGGACCTGGAAGACTTCATTCTGTGTGAAATTAGTCAGTCCCAAAAGGACAAATATTATATGAGACCATTATTGCAAAAATAAAAACAACAAAAATGTTTCTGTACTGAAGGGAACATTCTTTGATGGTTACCAGGGGTGGGATGCAGGAGAGAGTAATTCACCTACTTGAGAGTAGACACATGTTAACTCGGGTGATGGGGGTGAATATACAATAAGGTGGAGTAAAATATACAAGAAAGGAGAGGGCAATACACAAGAAGAGGAAGGATGGCAGAAGAATAATGAACATATATGAAGACAGAGATGTATGTATGGATTAAAGGGGATAGAGGGAAACAATAAAATATATAAAATCTTGGAGAAGTTTTGTGCATAGACACATGAATTGCGACATAGTTTCAATGATATGGGAAGAAGAGTGGAATAGGTAAATATATATATACGTCTTTCCCCTTTAATCCATAATACATCAATGTCTTCACATATGTTCATTATTTTTCTGCCATTCTATACCACTCATCTGTCAGTTTGTTGTACTTTGGTGGCTTGCGAGTTTCTATGTTCTGAAAGCTATGCCACCAGTATTTTAAATACCAGCAGGGTCACCCATGGTGGACTGGTTTCAGATGAGCTTCCAAAGACTGACTAGGAAAAGGAGTGATGATCTACTTCTGAATATTTAGTCACTGAAAATCTTAAGAATAGTAGAAAAACAGTCAAATATAGTGCCAGAAAATAAGCCCCTCAGGTTGAAAGTCACTCAAAATGTGATTAAGTAAAAGCTACCTCTTCAAAGCATAGTTGACTGTGCTGACATGAAAGGAGTAAAACCCGTGGGAGAAAAGCCTGCAGGACCTTAATTTTCTGATGGGGCATAACTCAAACTGAAGACAAATAGCTGTAAATCCACTGAAAATCAGAACATGGAATGTATGAAGTATAAATCTGGGAAAATTGGAAGTTCTCAAAAATGAAATGTAACACATAAACGTCGATATGTTAGTTTTTAGTGAGCTGAAATGGACTGGTATTGGCCATTTTGAATCTGATGACCACATGGTTTACTATGGCTGGAATGACAAATTGAAGAGCATTGGTGTTGCATTCATCATCAAAAAGAATATATCCAGATCAGTCGGGAGGTACAATGCTGTCTGGGATATGAAAATATCCATGCACCTACAGGGAAGCCCAGTAAATATCACTGTTATTCAAA